TTTCTCACACACACACACACACACACACACACACACACACACACACACACATTACAGTTTTCTAACAACTTAAGTTATAAAGCTTGCAGGCATGATGTTCCTTCAGTCTCAAGTACTTCAGTGCGTATTTCATTTAAAAAAGGACACCCTTGACTGGGCGTGATGGCTCTGTAATCCCCGTACTTTGGGAGGCTGAGATCGGAGGATTGGTTGAGCCCAGGGGTTCAAGACCAGCTTGGGCAACAGCGAGACCTCATCTCTACTAAAAATTAAAAAATTAACTGGGCATGGTAGCATGTGCCTGTAGTCCCAGCTACTTGGGAAGCTGAGGCAGAAGGATCACCTGAGTTCAAAAGGTGGAGGCTGCGGTGGGCTGTGAGCATGCTACTGCACTCCAGCCTGGGCAACAGAGTGAGACCCCCAACTAAAAAAAAAAAAAAAAGAAATTAAAGAAGAGCACTCCTATGTGGACAGTATGTGACCAAAGTCAGTTCAGTTCATTAGCATAAACACAATCCTGTTCCCTCGTCTGCAGACCTTACTGAACTTTGCCAGTTACCTCACTGGTGTTCTTTATAACAAAAGAAAAAAATCTGGATGCAGATACATGATGGAATATCACACAGCCATAAAGAAGAACAAATTATGGACTTTGCAGCAACTTGGATGGATTTAGAATCTATCATACTCAGTGATCTAGCACAGAAACAAAGAACTGAGTACCACATGTTCTCACTCATAAGCAGACTCTGAACATTTACCGTAATACCATAAGAAAGGAATTGGCAGTCGTGGGAAACTGCCAGTTGGAGGGGTGGGGTAGAACACAACATCAATAAGCGTACCTGATCTCAAGCCAGGTGAAGTGAGGACCGAAGAGAGGCCCAAACTTTACCTGTATGGTGACCACTTGTATATCTAATCCTAAATTGTACCCCACATCTTTAAAATAAAGAAATAAAAATAAAAGGCAAAAAATAATTGGGGTGCAGCGTCCAGCCTTGGGGAGGATTTTGTGGGCTCAGACACAGAGCAGAGGCTCCCACACCTGCTTCTCTAGCTTTCTTCTTCCTTCTCAGCTTGAGAAGTGAAACTCAAATGCAGAAGCCTCCCTGAGATTCTGTGCTGTTTTCTGATCCAGGAGGAGCCTCGGTTGACCCCTCTGGGGCTTGGCTACAAGTTCAGCGTGAGATGGGCCCTGCACGGTGATGTCTCTCCCCTCTGCAGCATCGTGGGCTCATTCCAAGAACCTTTCACTAGTAGATACAGGCTTGAAACATTTTCTTTTTCCTAAAACTAAACCTTAAGAAAAAAAATCTTTTTTCAGGACTGTTTGCGGTGGCTCACGCCTATAATCCCAGCACTTTGGGAGGCTGAGGTGAGAGGATTGCCTGAGCCTACAGGT